AAAGGAGTGAAAATTATTAGACTACAAAAATTCTAGCGTTCAATTCAACAACAGAAGCACAATAAGCTGTAAAAATGCACGTGTAAAGAGAAATACATGAATATGCTTAAGTAGTGTTGAGACCTATGATTTAATATGCTCTTTCATACTATGCAAATAAATATAAGAGAAAATACCAGTTCATCTGCCCATGTCAGAACATCACTTACATGTTATGTGAATGAATTTGATGAGAAAGATGAATAAAACGAAAATCTGTAAAGCCAAACATCAAATGAAATTTGACCAAAAGCTCAACAAAAAGAGAAAATTCTGCAGTTTTATTATTTAAGACAGCTGCTACCGAAACAAGACAGAAATAATAGATTAAATCAGGGTGAATGACAAAGACTGGGCTTAGTTGTGTCAAAACAACTATTATTTTATCACTTAAAAAAACATATTATTGCAGCAAATACTTTTGCATTTGGCTTTCTTTACATAAGAAAAGCTGTACAAAAAAATGCCCGTGTAGAGTAATGACTTTAATAATACAAACCAACTCATTGTTCGGTTGCCATGCATTTTTATCGAAAGAAATGTTCAGCAACTAGCGTAGGGTATATGGCTCATCAAGAGACGTAACGTCTCAAGCGTGATTTTTGCTTCCCGAGCTGGAAATCTGTGCAAATTCTGCAGCATTTTGGATTGAAATGACAAACAAACAATGTTTTTTTCTCATATAAGCTAATAGAGCAAATCAAGAAGATGTTGCACAAGAATCAAGCATAGCTCCTGTAAAAATATGGGTATGTAATTTCATTTGGGACTGGACAGTAAAATAAATAAATTAACAACACAGGAAATGTTGCGCAGTGGCCCCTTCTGCTTTCTAGATTCATTTCCATATCAAATGCATCGTATCAAAGCCAGCCCTCCGACCGGGGGCTCAATTTGATGTGGTAAATTCATATAAGTCTGCAATCAATATTTAATTAAGTGTTCAATACAGAGGGTATATTTCATGTTGGCTGTATGATCCATTTTAAAGGGGAACCCAAGATTAACCGAGCTGTAATGCTGGCGAAGAAACAATTTGCCTCTGTGATGGCCGAGCACACACAGCAGATCATTCTCTCTCGTTCTGCTTCAGTTTTTCTTCCTTTGCTGCATTTGATAAGACAGCTCCCAAAAGATCATGATGAAAATGACAGTGTTTGAGGACTCTGTGGCATGTGCCTCCCACTTGTCTATGGCACACACAGAGGAATACACTGCCATCAATCTTCATCACATTTGCCTGTGCCTTACATTACCATCTTTGACACGTCAACCGCTTCCTGCACGCAGGAGGCATGTGTCTTCCCTGCCTCCCTCATACATTCATCATACATCACAGAAGAATAAACAAAGAAAATAGCATCTAGAACACAAGGAAATATGCACAGTAAGAGAGGTAAAGCAGCGAGCAATGAACACATTCGGTAAACAAAAGGTGGATTTTTAGTTTCCATCATTCTTCCACCATATTAAAGTGCCCGTTGAATGTTTGTGAGGTCAGTTTAAAGCAAGGACAGAGTATTTGAGTTTGCAAACAGTATACAAAAGACTCTACAAGAGCAAGAATAAAAAAGGCATTATGGCATGGCACAATTTGGCATTGTAACTCCCGTACTGTACAGAAGAGGACGCCTTAAGGAGCAAAATGTAAGAAAAATGCAATGACGAGATGAAACGGCGAGATACAGTAAATGTTAAAAATGACACCGCGCACGGTGGCATGTATATGTTTTAAGAAAGTTTTTTTAGGCAAATCCTGGGTTAGCATCCATTCGTCACATACTGAGACAGGAGCTCACACACACACACACAAACCCATAAAGTTACTTTAACCTCAAGTATTAGGATTGAAGAGTCCACAGACTGTGAAATGACCCATTGTTTAAGCAGCAAACTCGCATCCCGATTGCATGTGTTGCAAAGTGAGCGCCAGAGGGAAGAGATATTTATCACTAATAGGAAAAGAGGAAGACCAAACAAGATCCAGGGGTAGCTTGTTGATTGTCCGTAGTGGTTTCATCAGCTCCAGTGTCTTTGTGCTGGTACCTCTCCACACCTTCACTGTCAGAAAACTCTGGTTTAGGAGATTGTCAGTCAAAGCCATAGAAAAAAACTTGTGTGTAGATTTCCATGTTTGTCTTTTTAATGACTGAACGTTGATGAAAGAAGACGACATGGGAGGATCAGTTACGAGACAGCTACGGCTCAGTCTGCTTTCTGTCTGTTCATTCTCACCCAAAGGTAAATATTATCACAATATGTGCTTTCTTCTCTATGGGGAGCTGAGCTTTCTCACCTTCAGGTTTCCTGGGTCTACGAGAAAATACACAGACTTTTAGAGAAGAGAATCAGAGTTAAGAAATACTCAATATTATTGTGAGATGGAAGTCTAGGTCTCGTCTTTACCCCCTAGTCTGGAGGAGTTTTCGCGCCTGCTGCCTCCTATAATCAGCTGCAGGGTGGCAGCTGGTATGAAGCCCTCTTGTTGCAGAGTCACATTTTTCACCAGCCTTTCCACCAGGATGAAGAATTGTGAGGAAAGTGTTTACAGGAGGGAAGGAAAATAACTGCATCCATTCACACGTTGGTAGTTCGGCTGATCACTAAGCCCCATTGACAGGGTTTGCTGAAAGTGGCTGAAAACTCACCAGCGCCCCCTGTTGTCTTCACATTGTAGTTGGATGACGTCTCCACGTTTGATGACGATGCTGTCTGGTCCGTTTTGGAGACAGTCAGCCAAAACCCTGTATCTGCCTGGAGACTAACAGAGAAGGAAAACTGTCAAGCAGATTTATTTATACGTCGCTTCTGAAAGCAGGTGTTACAAAGTGTGGCATAAAAAAATGAAGAAGAAGAAGAAAATATTAAAGAGAACGATTAAGAACAGGCACAACAGCCCCAAAATAGATTTAAAAAAAGGTTTAAAATTACCTGAAAAAGTAATAGTAATAGTCTTAAAAAGTACGATAAGTATGGTTGGGTATGTTGCAGTAAAAGATGACTTACAGGTGAAAGCAATATGGGAAATGTTTCATAATATGTGTGGGGAAATTTCAAAGAGAGATAAGACAACTTTTGTTTTTTGGCATTTAACTAGATAATAGAGGTTTTAAAAAAAGCTGCATTTGGTCTCACCAGCTGCACCAAAACCTCCTCCTCTGTGTCAGATGGATGGAAGGGGTCGCGACCTCCAGGCCACTCCTCCAGACCCTCGCAGATGTCTACGGAGTGAGGTGCTCCTGGCCAGCCTGGGGCACATACATGACTTTTTTCTGTCAAAGGCATCAGCAAGCACATTCTTCCAAATACCGCATCTTAAAAGGCACCACGTAGATACTTAGTAACTGTGTCGACATCACAATGACCCCTTTGTCACTTACTGGGAAATTAATAAGAAGGTGGAATCAAAAGCTAATCTCAGTAGATGGACCTTTTTCCCTTGTAATCCTCGATGTACTTGTTTCTTCAGATCAAAGTACACCTGAACTGCTGAGGGGGGGAAAAGTCAAATATCTATATTAGTTTACGATTTTGAAGAAAATCAGAAACAGCGGCACAACAGTGTGCAATGCAGGTATCGTTTGCAAGATTTTTTTGCGTGTGTGTGATTTAGTTACTAAGTATCTACTTGATTATAACAGAAATGCGCAGCGATGAGATTTTACTCACTCCTACGGTTGTGCTGGTGTTTCGGGGAGTGGGGCTGGGGGTCTGGACTGCTCCTCCCAGACTCTGTCTCCTCTGAACTCACTGATGCCCTCTGCTGTTTGCTGGGAAAATAACACAAAACAACATGAGACCAAATAGTGCACAGAGTCAGAAACACTCAGGACAGACATTATCCTCAAGCATGCACTGGGGTCAGACTATGACTTCTACAGTAATAACACATGGGAAGTGTAAATGCTGCCCCAGGTGAGTCTGTAAGAACAACTCTTTCCTGTTGTTTCTCATACACCAATGGCCACTTAGGCACCAGCCATACAACACAGAGCACAGCAGCCATTTGCAAGCCTCTTTGTAAAGGGTGGGAAGTAGTACTTACAGACCACTGGCACAAGGAAAGATCTGGTCTCGATTTATTAAGATCCAAATGTAGAGATTTAACAACTTTATTATTGGATGCTGAATAAGAAGTTTTCAGCAAAGCAAATTTCCCTGATGCTTGATCAGATCTCAAAAAACGAGGCCCATCTCAAGAAGCGGCTGTCATGAAGAAATTAAGAAAATGGAATGAAACTTAAACTCTTCTTCTGTTTTGTCCTCACAATTACATGCAAAATAGAAAATCTGAGGTGCAAGAAATAAGATTGTGTTAGAAACTGTATTAGAAAGCTGTGATGGGACTGCTGAGACGCTGGCAGGAGTATTTGGGGATCAATTATGGACTGGAATGAGGCTGAGTGGGTGTAGCTGGCGATCAGTTTGCAAACACAGCAGTCCGGGGTTTTTAATCCTTAAGGCGGGCCACATGGGTCATGCCAGGGTGAATCAAGCCAGGCTGGGCCAGGCTGTTTACCACTGAGCGTTAACAGCAGGTCAGTGGCGCTGTGGGTAGTGGCGGGGACGTGGCCGGGGGCGTTGCCGGGGGCTTCGGGGACGGGGGCTCCGGGACCGCAGGCACAGAAACACGTCAGCTGACAGCGATACAAAGTCCAGCCCCGGCAGACAGCCCCTGGGAACCCCTCTGGACGGCCGCATGCCCCTGCAGGTAGGGGACGGGAGGAGTGGGGATAGGCAACTAGACAGCAGTGAACACAGTCGGGCGTGTGCCCATTTTCAAACACCGCCACACACAGCCTCCTACCAGGGCCGTGTGAAATGTCTCAGTCACTCAAGCTCTATCACATGTGAAAACTCAGCAAATGCAAATGTTTTAGCACTGACTACATATGGGCGTGTTTCGCATAGGTTTGTGTGTTTGTGCAACTACGGCCTACAGTCATGCACTTACAACAGTGTAAATAACCGTCTATAGTCAGCTGTAGGCACTGACCTCTCAGAGAGTGGTGGAGAAAGTGGCATGTGGTCAACGATGTGGCCGTGTTGATATGCTTCATCTGTGAGGAAAAGGTACGATATTATAGACATATAAGGAGTCTGTAAGTTGACCATTAACTCGATTTCTTTCTTTTAAGAAAAGCGCAGGGTGAAGAAACTGAGCATAAAGGCTAACCCACCAGCTGTGGAACTTTGAATCTGAACTCTTGCTCTCTGAGTGCTATGAGAGTCAGTTCAAAGCTCTGACGGTTAAAGGGAACCTTTATGCCGAGAATTCTTTTTCCCGTATTAACTTAAGTTGCTCTCAGACCTCTAAGCATCTTCTGCTGGTTAGTCAGGATTCTACGGAGCTCGTTGAGCCAGGCCATCTTCACCTCCACTGTAGGAGCCTGAAGAACAACACAAACATTAAACAAGAAGAGTCATTTGGATTTGAAAAAATCTGAACATGTTTTTCTCCAGCTACATTACCATTTCTTCTTTATTTGTAATCAATATATGCAACAATATGATGACTTTAAATAGATATTTTAAACAAATAATAATATATCTTTTTTTGTTTGAATAACATCCCCAAACCATATATATCTTGCTAACTGGGAATGAATACGAGCAAAACC